GGAAAGGAAACGTGCTGCATGCAACTGTTGTTCTGTTTCTACAAGGGAATGGAATGGGTATGTAGACTAACAGCACTTGACTGCCACGAAACGCTTCCTTAAAAGGGATTTCTTTCCTTTTAGGCACCTCTGAAGATTAGCAAAGTTCTTGTGCTGAGCTAATGAACTGGGGGTGGGGGAGTGCAGCTACAGCTGCAAGGAGTAGCTTTGCCAGCCTCTCAAGTTTGGGGGACTTGGCTTTCCAAGTGGAAATTTGTTTTTGCAGTGTACAGCAATTTTAGCCTTGATTTGTTCATTGATTTTTCTAAGGTGGCACTTCTGCTTCATGTTCAAGGACTGTCCTGGATAATGAACTGTCACGAACTGCTTGTAAAATGAGTTGGGTGCTTTAATGCACGAACACGCAGAGTCTGCAGCTTCAATTTACACGCTTCAGACTTACAGGCAGTTTCCTGCACGCTGTTAGTAGAATGCACAAAGCTAACCCTTTCCTTACTTTCAAGAGGAAACTTAAAAATATGCAGGAAGACATGCGTGGGAACAGTGAGTCTAGGATTAGCTGCTTGTAGGCTTGTGCTTTTAATAGATGTCTTCTATTATTAGCTTGAATTTTACAAGTTTTCTTGTGTTGTTTATGTTTTTGTAGGTATAGTTCTGTTCTTAGCAGTTTTGGTGGGAAAAGTAGACATAGAATTGTTTTAGGACTAAAAGCCTTTGTTTTCCAGTAAAGGGAGAAACTGTAGCAGAAAGTCTCTCCTAGAAGAAAATGGCAGGTTAGAATGAAAAGCAACACGGAATAGCCCTTATCACTTTGATGTTTGTGAAATAAAAATGCTTGAGACTAAAGTAGTTTATGCCCATCCTCTGTCTGGTATTAATACAGGAAAAGAATACGTTCAAGTAGGTAGTTAGTAGAAAAGAAGAGCAAAGCAGTCCTGCAAGAATTTTTGAAGTGGCTGGGAGAGTTTATGTACCTATGCATTATAATTGGGTTTGTTTCACTATAGGACAGGTCGAGTGGGACTAAAGTTCATCTTTTCCTTCTCACCCTGAGAATGCAGATTGAAATTCAGCTTTGAAAAACAAGATTAGAAATTCGTTTGCAATCTGCAACCATTATTTTAGCTTCTTATCTCTGCTTCAGTGATGTGTATGCTTACACACAGTGACTCATTTTTTAAAATTCTGTAGAGGTGGGAATTTTCTTTTAAAGACAGTAAGCTGTGCTTAACAATTGCCAGTATTTTTGGTTTCATATCCTTTGCCATTTAATGTTTTCCTTGAAATGAGGAGATCCCCACCCATGCTCAGGAACAGGCTGTGGACAGTGGCGCGAGTACTTTATGAGGCCAGGAAAGGGGCAAGAAGGGTAGATGGTGTCACATACCAGGTAAGCCTGTCACTGGAAAACCGCAGCTGAAACGGTGTGCCAGCAGTTGCTGTTCTTCATTCTCATGCTACGGTTTTTCAACTCTCACTCGGTCCCTTCCTCCTTTTCAGATTTTACCTTCATTTCTGAGCAGGTTTTAATAGCTGAGACAGCTCAGAGTTGTAATAAACACAGGAATATTGTTTATAAAAAAAAACAACACACAAGCAAACTTCAATGGCAAGGTTACCACTGCTAGGATGGACTCTTTAACCACAATATGACAAAAAAATTAGCAGCTGGTGGGTGACGAGGCCCTTTAAAATTGACCTGCAGGTCCTCTTTGGGTTTAGATGCCAAGTTTGGGTAGAGGTGCTAAATAGTGGAAACACTTCAATTGGCTTTACTTTGTTTTCCCCAGAACAAGTCAAAATACTCTGCCATCTGCGCTCAAAGGATTTACACTAATGATATTCTGCAGGCCTGTAGAAGGACAAGAGGAGTTTGGTTTGCCAAGGAAAGGAGACACTTTAATGGCACATTTTCCATAAACACACTGTGTGAATCAGATATAGTTCACATTCAACCTGGTAATGCTCCAGAAACACGCAAGATGAGCACAGTCAGTAATCCTCACTGAAAATTACACACTGGGTTTTAATGGTAAACATTACAACTATGGCACTACAGTACTCGAGGATATCCTAAAGCACATTGGAATCCATTTTCAAGGTGCTGATTACCTCATCAGTAAGACACAGACATATGAGTAATGAAGCGTTGTTGGGGAAACTTTTGAACACCACATGTTATGCTTTCCATTGATTTAGCAGAATCCTTACAAGTGGCCTCCTGCTTTTGATACGAGGCCGCTGTTCCCACCTGTCAGAAAGTGCTAAACTCTGGTCTCACGCTGACATCCATTACCACCTGGAAAGCACCGTCTGACTACACAACGAGAAGGAGCTCTGTTTCTAAGTAAGTGCCGTAGCGTTTCGCATCATGCTGCACTGCACAGCTCGCTATACAACACGCTAAAGCAGAAGTGCTCTTGGAGCTGGACATTTTGCAGCTTCATTTTACACAAGTCTTGTCTCCAGTTGTATAGGTGGCTTAACGATTACTAACAAAAGGACAACCTTTGATCAGACAAATATGCAAGTTTTTAAACTGTGGAGAGCAGCTGCTGCTTGCAGAGCAGTCACAAGCAAGAAGAAAATTCTTGCCAGTTAGTGTGTACTATGCTCAGCACTAAGTACAAAAGAAACATTTGGCTTAAATGAAATTAGATATCCCCCCCCTCCCCGAGCTAGTAGATAAATATAGGATATACAAGTAAGGTTAAAAACGTAAATACTAGGCCAGGTGCAGTATATGTTACTGGTTCAGTGCTCATTACTTTTTTTTTTTTTTTTTGACACCACACTGAATAGAATACAGTGGATAAGCAAAGTTCTCCACCAGGAAGAGAAATACTTGTGTTGCCACAACAAACTGTTCATACTGTCCATCTGGGTTCGCAGTGGGAGAAAGTTAAATTAGGAAAGGATTTACAGTGTGCTTGTTCCAGCAAAGCATATGGCTGAGTCCTCATCTCCACCTGCTGCAAGAACAAGACTGACCTGACTGATTGCATTGTGTTCCCACGGCCGTGTCCAAATGGACCATGCTGGATACTGTTGCCCAAGACGGCAATGTTACGGAGCAAATGTGACTGAAGTAAGAACATAACTCTGACCCAAAAAATTAACTGGAGAAGTAGAAGCTGCTTAAAATAAGCAAACGTTGCTGAAGATTACAAATTTACATTTCTTAAAACACAGAAAGGCACATTTACATCACTGGTTTGTGAGAACACTGCATATTTCTGACTGACTACTGTAACTGCTTCTGACCCCCAGCTAGTTGTGTATTTTAAGCTTTGCATTCTCAGAACTAAAATCCTGAAGCAATCCAATCCAGGTAGCGTGCAGACAAACACAGTTATAGATGGAATCTGCGTCACTCCCCACCTAACTGTAAGCAGTAAGGTACGGTACTTGACTTACCCCCCACACCAGTGGAGTCTGTCAGACACCTTTTTCTGCCTGTTTAAATGATAACAGCTACCTGTTCTGATGAGAAGAAAGGCTCTGGCTGCAAGAAACAGAAATAGTAGGTGACAAACTACCTACAATTTAAAGCAATGAATAGTTCTATTTATTGATCAACTTAAGTAAAAGACGACATGGTTATATATGTCACTTAACGTATCAAATAATAATCACAATAGGTTTTAACTAGTGTACAGTTTACATATTGATACACTGTTAGCAATGCCGAATGCTTCCTGCAGCTTTATGTTACGCCAATTTCTCTCTTTCCTGGTTTAGGATGCTGTGAAAAAGCTCTGATGAAAGACTTTAAAAAACATGTGGTAGCAATTTCTCTTTGTACAGCTAGCAGGTATCCCACAGCAAGGAATCCGATGCCTACTCCCTGTGCACCAGGTTGAGCAATGGTACCATCTGTAGGGAAGTTTTACTGCGTTCTATGATGGCTCTCAGAAGCATTAACTAAAAAGGGTAATTGCATTTTACTTGAATGCTTGTGTGTTTTAGACCACTGTGTTTTACTGCTGTCACACCTAAAAGGCGCCGTTTGACTGTGTGACTTGCTCTACCTTAGGTAAATTCTACTCTTACTACCATGCTTTGGCGATTTTAGGAGTGTGCAGTTCCTTGCTGGGCACACAGGGGCTAGCTGGAAAGGACGGGCTTGGGAAAGAGAAGAGAAACGTAGCAGTTGTCAAATTGCATTTTTTTGGGGGGACACCTGGCTTGTGCAACAGGTTTTCCTGTCCACCTTTTAAAAACACGATTAGCTGACTTCCACTCTCCAGCCCAGCAGTACAGCTAAAATTCCATTTTTGTTTTAACAGAAGTCTTTCTCTATTACATAGCCAAGTTTTAGAAACTGGATCATGCCTCCAGTGTTAGTCTACAGACTGTAAATAAAGATCCCACGCTGGGCCAATGAGTAAATACTACAGCTACCTCAGCCTGCTCCCGTCATCATCTCATCATCTCCATCCAGCAGGTTATGCTGTGACAATGAGCATCTTCCCTTTAGTTTCCATTTGAACTGGTCAAACAATTGTCACGCAGACCATCTGGAACACCCTTGCTTCCTTTCAGTTTTAAGTGAACTGCAGGCATTTAGCAGAAAGGAGCTGTATTTAGAGGCTAGGACTGTTCTCACAAACCCCAGACTTTAAGGCTGTACTCTCAGTTCCCACCAGGAAGGAGGGCTGGGGTCCCAATGCCAGGAAGTCTCCAAGTTTTCAAGCAAGTAAGTGTTTCTGATCAAATTTCAGGATGACAGTCTAAAACAGATGTCTAAGGCAATTCAGGTTCAGTTAAAAAAACATAAATCTCATCACAATTTAGACATGTATATATTTTAAGATAATTTTTTTAAAATTTGAAGGGGAGGGGGGCAGAGCATATGTGAAGAATACTTGAATTCAACTGCAGTATAGATACAACTGAACCAACTGTTTATTTACAACGATTCCTGAAAGTCAGCAGCCTGAATACACACCAAGATAGCAGCAATTACCTGGTCTATTTAATGATGCCACATGTCCTCCCTTCTGCAGACAAAGAATGATTGTTCGGAGGTCACTGTTTAGTTTTCTTGCACGAGGGAAAATAGTACGTGCAAACAATTCCTTGATTTCAAGAGATTAAATCATATCTACGTAACAGCTGTGAGAACAGCATGAAGTTGTGTTGCTCTTCGTAATCAGAAGCACATTTATCTTGCTTCTGAGGAGGACAGAAAGCTTCTCTGATGTAAATGTGCCTTTAGAAAGTGAGAACTGAAGACATTAATATAAAAAAAGTCAAATAGTTAACTAAGTATTTCATGAAACTATATATATAAAAATTGAGTTATCACAACTAAAGCAGCAAATCAAAATCTGCTGAGGTTTTCTGGTATAACTAAAAAAAAAAGTTAGTTTGTGTCCAAGTTCAGTAAGTCAAATGCTACCATTGACACAACAAAACTAAAACCCACAAGAGGAAATTGAAAAGTGCACAATGAAATTAATAGTCTTGGATCAAGTATTTATGGAAAAATGGAAATGTTTTGTCCGGTGGACTTGATAAGCGAGAATTAAAAGGAGGTATTAAAGTTTATCTGATCCAGATTTGGCTTGCCGCTCCACGTAGAAGAGGATGTAGGCCTTGGCCTTTACCACAGTCTCCTCGTCAGTCAAAGTTACAGTACTGTCGTTGAAATGGAACCAGCGGCCTTCATGAGCTGCATACGCCGTGTAATGTCCGGAGCCAACGCTGTCAGCAGGGGCGGGCAGGGAGAGAAAGGACAATCAGCAGGAGACAGACCACCTCATTCTCCCATGCGTTCTCTACTAGGGCTAAGAGACTTCGGGCCGCAGAGGAAGAACGGAACTGACAGCCCCCCACAACAGTTGGTAAGATGCTTCCCTTCTTAGTCTGTGGAGCTCAAAGTTCTCCAAATTACACGTAAAATAACCACTTACTGGGATGAGTTGAAAGGCTGTTTTGTATGAACTTACTAGCATCCCACAGGTTTTGTGCAAGCAAGGCTTCTTGCAGCACTGAACTTCCATGTTTGCCTACTTAGAAATCAAGTCCATCATCTGTTGCTGTTATTCAAGCATTAGCTATAAAAAATTTCACTATGCTCTATTTTCAGAAATCTTTCCCATTTCCATCTAGAGACACTCACAGTCTAAATAGAATTGAAAGCACTCGCAGCAAAAGGAACCCCAGAATATCAAGACAACAATTTTTCAAGTTCATCTTAAACAGATCCACATCCTGAAGCCACAGTTCTTGAATCTAACATACGAGAACTATAAACTCACCCATTGTCATTATGCTGCCACCCCACGATAAGGCCTGCTTTCACTCGCTTACGTGTTCTAACACACGCTCAATGGTTTCCAACCATCTACTTCCCTTCTAATTGTCATCAGCTTTCCTTTGCTGTCCATGTAGTTTTCTTATGACTCGGAAGCACCAGTCAGATGCACTGTAGGTGCATCAAGATAGCATCACGCTATCATAGATAGCTATAAGAGCTGCTACGTTTAGTAGCCAAATCTTTCTTTTTTATTTAAGAGTCCAGAGCATTCCTCTGGAGAAAGCAAAGAAAAGGGCTTTCTGGACAGAACTACTGTTTCAGATCTTTCAGTTACATTCAGGTATCGGCAAGGTTTTGATTAATAGGGCTTAGTTTCTTTAGGAAAACTCCTGTCACAGCGCACACCCATAGAGTGATTGCCTAAACGACAAGAACGCATTTCTTCCAGGATAAAGTTGTCTTGTCTCTACTACGGTTACTCTCAACAGATCTATCCAGGGCTGGGAAAAGGAAAAAAAGAAAACAAAACACACCCAGCAACTTTACTTGAAAATACGAACACTAGCCAGCCTTGTGGCACACCTATCGGCATTCGCTTTGCAGTTCACTCCTGTAGCAGGGACTCTAAAGACAGGATCGTTGCTTTCACTGCGCCAAGCTGAAGCCTACAGTTGTTCCAAACATGCACACGCATTCTTTTGACATAAATGCACGTGTGCCTTTCAAAGTGAGTAAAAGAGGAAAAAATATTTTTGCGTAGTACTAAGAATTTCAAAATGAGGGGTTAACTTCTGGAAGGACCCTTGATTAACGCTCTTGGTTTGGGGCTTTCCATTCCTGGAGGAACTTTTCTTTCTGTCTCACACACTTTTAGTCATTACCCTCAAAGACGGCCAGTGGGCATTCACAGGAATAATTGGGGGAAGTTCATTCAGCTTCGTTCCACGCAAATTTATAAATCACTGCTTATTCCCACCAGTAAAATTACAGCCATTCACTAGGGACCGAAAAACCTCAATTAACTCTGCAGGTACTTTGGTAGGGAGGTGGTCTCTGCCGAGCAGCAGGCTTACTCCATGGACTCACCCGGAACCATGATGCACGACGACGGCCGCAAGGTCATACAGACAACTTTCTGGGCCACTGTTCTCGGGCTGTGGAGAAAAAGAGAGAAAATTCTTCAGGTCGCACTAGTGCCTGCTATAATTTGTAATAAAGATAGGTGGCATGGAAGAAATTTCTACAGAAAGTATCACTGAGTCTTCATACCTCTAACAAGTAGCATTTCATGTCTAGGCCTCGTAAGGGAAACTCAACATACGTATCAACCTTGTTTCTCAGATATGCTGTCCAGTGAAATCGTTTCAAGTGTAAGCATAGCACCTAGGATTTAAAAAAAAAATATTTAAAGAACAGATGCATTAGAGAAAGAGGCTGAACTTAGTGCTAGACATCTGCAGTAGTCTGTAGGAGAGTTAGGTGTTGGTCTGCTAACAGTTGAGTCGTTATTTCCTTTGACATATTGTCACACTGTTACTTCTCATGCTTATACGAACCTTTGGTAGTTTCTGAATCCAGAATTTTTTGGTGGACTTCTGTTTCTTTTTGCATTTGTGACACATATACAGCTCTGTCTCATCAAGTTCTTCCAGGTCTGTAAAACTGCGAAGACAGTCTAAAAAAGAAAAAGATACAAAAAACCCCAAAACACTCGCACAAAGAAACCTGGTTCAAGACGACATCAAGTGTTGGGGTTTTTTCGTGACATGAAATACAACAAATATGGCACTAATGAGAAGGTGTGTGCAGCATAAAGCTGTGTAATAATGCGTTTTAATACTGTAACACGTTGCAACATGCAGCACTCCCTGTTCCTTATAACATAGCTGTAAGCAGCTGAAGAGAAAAAAAAAAATAAAGGCAATTCACAAAATCTCCATTTTTCAAACAAGATGCCATCCAACATTCGTCACAACTATTTTCAAAAGAAACTTAATGACTTTCTAACAAAGAAAGAATATTCAACTTTTAAAGCTGACTTGGGTTTAGGTACAAAGTGAACCGAGAAAATAATGGAGGTTTGATTAATATTTCACAATCCGCAATACATATATTGACAAATCTGTAAAAATTAACATCCTTTAAAACAGGGTCAGTAGCAGCACTACTGCCCAACTTTGCAGGATTGTATTTATGTTGTTTAAAAAGCAGAACACCCAAGAGCCATTCTTACTACACACAAGGAGCCCATACTTCTAAGCACAGAGCCTTAGCAAATAACAGTAGGCAACAATGCAGATGAGTGCCGGTTGGAAAGACTGGAATACATTAGAAATACTCTGACCACAAAGGAAAACCTCTGCTGAAACTATCTTTGATATTTAGCTGACCTCCCGAAGCACTCCTCGGCCCCGGTTTATCAGTGACTGGGGTAAAACCTGAACGGAAAATTAGTTTGGCACCTTTTTGTACCACAAGATCTCACAACATTAGATGGCAAATGGCACCAAGCCACACCCTGGGTGGGCCTGGCACCTCTGAAAAGTGTATACTCTTAGTCCTGGTAATGATCTCATTATGCAAGCACTCTTACCTCGTAGTGTGCACATTGGTCCGTTTTCTTGATTTTTAGTACGTTTATTTCTGAACTGACTCGGAATATCTAGCGAAAGGTCTAGAAGAACAAAGATTGTTTTTAAAATTTAGAGCTGACTAGAACAATGCCTAATCTTGTCAGGCTAAAACTTTGGTACAGTCATGTGACATCTAAACAACATACCGAGCTTCAGCTTTATTTTTCTGCCTTAAGTCACCTGGTATTTTGAAAGCAAGAGGCACCTTACCTAGGAATGGGTCAAACTTTCTAGATTCAGTCCCACATATTAGGCAGTTGACTTCATTTTGAAGAATGCCTCCAAAAATCGCTGTGACAACAGTAGACGCTCCATTTCTAGACAAACCACATCGGAGAGGCCAAGTCAGTCAGAAAGTCTGAGCTTAACTTTCAATAGCTGTTAACATGTTTACTGCCTACGACTCACCACTGCTAGGCAGAGCGGTTTTGTCTCTGTCTAACAGACAGAGACCCAGCATTTCCTTCACCTCTGAAGTGCACAGTGCAAGTATTTAGCTGCTGTAACACTTTTGCTTTATTTCGTACCTGGAGAAAGCGCGAACTGCGTACGCTTTAAGCAGACACTCGGAATTTCAGTGTTGAAAGCATTCCGGTTGATTGCATTTCTATAGTGGAGAGCTGCTGCTCACAGGGGTGCAGTATTTTAACCCTGTACTTAAGGCTGTTTCGCAAACAAAAATTCTCCCCTCTTAGGTAGGTCGAGCAGTTTTATTTTCATTCTATACCCTTTTTACAAGTTTGACTTCTTAAAGCACATTTCTGCACTTCACTTCCAAAGACAGCTTAAGGTGCATTAAGATAGGATAAACAATGTGCATCATCATAGTCATTCTCTATGCTTTCATTACGCTCTCGATCTTTTTAGATTAGGTAATGGACTTACTTCTCGTAGTCCAATTAAAAAAAACACGCATTTTGAAGTTATATTATTATACAGCTTCTAAACTTGCTAGTTTGTGCTTGCAGATCTGATACCACAAGCCTGCAGAAACCTGTGTTCCTTACCTGCGCTCCACCTACATCTTCACAGTTAATTTGAACACTCCTTGTGGAGCAGAAGGAAACAGCTGGCCAAATACACGGGTGCTCAGGAAGAGAGCACTCACAGCATATTTATTCCTTTATTCTTTTACTGTAGGCATTTAGGCACATGTGACCTTAAGTCACCCTTCATTCCTTCCTTCCTGAAGGCAGCTGACTCTACCTCACCATGCACTGGAATAGCCATTCTCAAGACAAATTTACAGTAGAGACATGAACTTTTAAATTCCCCTTGGCTTTTGACGCTCAGAATGCTGACAAAAGAAAATTGGTTTAGTTTTCTAATACACTTCAATTCTAACAATATTTTAGGATTCTTTTGTGGGATTTTTAAGCATCAGCAAAGCAACATAAATAGGCTAAAGAGCACAGCCCAAAGCCTAGGCTTTCCCTAATCTGTAAAATCCTGCATCCCTCAGACCTGCTTACTGTGTTCCTAATTGGTATAGGAAGGGAAAACTCACTCAACTCTTACATAGGGAATCCAGCCACTTAGGGACCAATGTGCAGGCTGAACTTTCCTTCCCGAAGCAAATTAAAATGTTTTCTCTCTGACAGTTTCAATCTGAGAGCAAACACAACGGGGTCAGAATTCAGACAAAACAGTAGTTTGAGAGGTACAGAAAGAGAAGAGAAACACAGGGAATACCTCTGTTTCAAGACACACAGTAACAGGAAAATCAGAATTACCAGGAAAAAAAAGCAACATCTTTAACTGTGTCAAGAGATATGCAAATACAGCAAGATCATCTGCAGGAAAATCAACTTCAAACTAACTGCATTGCTCACTCATTGATCCAGGAGGTCTGCTGACAATTTAAACCTACCAATACTTCACCATCTTTTTTGTTCCTGTACTGTTTAGGGCATCTGTTACCCTAAGACAATGAGATTGTCTGAACAAAGAATTCTATATGGTTATAGAACAGAAAATACAAAGTGCTTTTTATTTCAGGAAGACCAACGAATTAAACTGTGTTTGCAACTTAGCCTGTATGCTCACTCACACCTATGAAAAACACTGACCCTTTTGAAAGGAAGCACATCCCATAAGATGGTAATCCTTTATCACCAGCTTTGTAATTCCTAACATTACAGAGGCACTAAAGAGAACTTAAACAAGGAACCATGAATTGGAAATTCCAGATCCACCACGCACAGACCCATACAAAGGCATTAAGGTTTTGAAGAAATTAAAAAACATTTCTTACATGCAACACTTGTTGCTTGCAGACAGACTAGAATTTTCTTGCAAAATTACTGAACGTGAAACACCATTGAAGCCACCCTGGAGTTCGAGGTGTAGATGGTCCAAAAGGTAACGCATGAACTCGTGGGCATCCTGCTGCTGGTATCCCCTTAAGAGAAAAGGAAACAACAGCAACAAAAATCACCAAACATGCCGGTTGCTTTAGTGCCAACATACAGAGAGCACCAGGGCCACATGAAAGGACCTTTGCTCGTTTCATAATCGTGAGGAGACATTACAGACACATACCTATTTTGTATCAAAAAAGATTTCCAAGTAGCCTTTGGAAACACATAGCTGTGTCTAGACAAACTAAGCGATTTCGGCCATTCGCAGCTCTTGCTCTTTTGTGAGGGTGGAGAAATATTTAAGTATATTTTAGATAGATAGGAAGAGACCTTTTGGAAAACAACCGGGAGCAGCAGAGACGTAACGTTTGCTTACCTATTCAGTTAACTTTAATTGGCCTCACCAAACTCAGTCTGTGCTAGTAACACCCCAGGATTCGTATACATGTTAATTAAAAATACACAATAGCAGCAGCGACCTCCCCTCACTCACATGGAGCGTTTCTCCTTTTCCTTTGTTACTGGCTGTGCTTCATTAGTACCGCGGCGGAATCGTTACCAGTCACGTTCGGGCAGCGCACTCTTCATCCCTACTCTGACACTACTATAACTTATGGACAATAATTGACATCTCAAATCTGGTGAAATCCACAAGACAGACACCTCAAAACAAGTTGTTGACATGGGATTCAGAGGCAGTATTTTCGAGCAGTTCCCATTCAGCCACTGATCCCACTCACTTTGGCAGTTCCAGGTGTTTGCTTGCCTGTGTTTGTTCCCCTCCCCACCAAACCTAATCTTTGGTGCAAGACCAACACCTGCAAACTTATCTTTGCGTTTGTTTTCCGCATGCATCTTTCAGCAACAATACGAAGTCTGAAATAATTAGGATGAAAGTGAGAGTTCTTTCCTCTTCTAGGGCAAGATCTATAGCCATGCACAGAATTGCAGACCACCCCTGCATAACCCACACACCATTTGTTGGGAGAAGGACGTAATGGTGGGGTATCCACAGCATCTCTTGAGGAGTTGGATTTGGTAGGATACAGCTCCAGTCTCAGGGGTGTCAGGTCATCAGCAGCAACGCTGCTCAAAAAGTCACCATTATTATTTTGCCACTAACCTCATCAAAGGGAACAGAGAAGCCATCAGGGTAAAATATGCCTGTATTTTTAAGCTAAATCAGGCATCAGATTTGTTAACAGCTGCTGTTCATTTGCCCCGAGATGTAGAGTGAGATGAAGCCAGAAAGCACACAATGAAACAGCAAAAGCTTTGTGCAACACCAACATAATTATGTGCAGGTCTTCGTAGGCCTCGTTACAAAATCCCTACATAGTAGAGTTGGCTTTCCCTCTTCCTCTTGTCCATTCTTTTAAGCTGCTTTATCACACTTCCCCTGCCCCTTTTCCTCCTCGCTATTCCACATAAGCATTGGCAGTAACTGTCACATAGGAATTGTCTGGGAAAGAACAGAGATGGTTTTTATGCTGCTGCTCAGGGGAGGGAAAACGTCCCTGAGATGTCCTAAAAAAGTATTGCTAGGGAGTAACAAAATAAAAATGAGATAAAGCCTTTCCCTTGTGTGGAATTACAAACATTTTCTTCCAAACTAGCAGCTTTACAAGAAATCACCAAGTTTGTAGGTAGATCCTTCGGCACCCTGAAAAAACGTCAGCAGCACTACCTACCTTCTACAACGGAAAAGCTGGCGCACAGAAACAGCGCTGTGCTTCACAGGCCAGAGGCCTGTACAGCCAAGAACAGGACTTACTCTCCCAAAGTTCCACAATAGTTACACATTACTGTGAAGCACGGCAGTAAAACAGAACTCGGCCTCAAAGCCACGTGTTAACTGCGCGCACTGTAGGATAATTTTGAAGTTGCCGAGAGAACGCAGGATTTGCTTAGTTTACTGAATACAGATACGGTCGATTTAATAAACATAGAGGCAATCATCAGCAACAGCTGAAGATGGAGTTTAGGGAAAGTCTTTGCTTCAGACACCTTTTCAACATTAACTGCCTCACGGAAGAGGCACTGATGTATACAGCACCCTTGCTCTGCAACAAATTTGATGAAATAACCTTCGGAATCACCACAGCGTTGGTTGTGCTCCTGGTGCATGTGTTTATACTTGCATGCAAATATGATAATTATAAAAGATTCTTTGGATTTGTTAAAAAGTGTTAAGTATAGATACAGATCTTCAAAAGAACATGATGATATGGATGATGCACTGTTAAAATTAAACTACGATCTAAAAGCCCGACAGCAAAAAGCATAGTTTCTCTGATAGTCAGCTAGCTTGTGTTTCAAGCCCAGCTCTGACATTTTTTCCAGCCAGCAACAAGGTAGGATATAAGCAGGAACAGTTACTAGAAGTTGGAGCATACTATCGATACAGCAGTAAACCAGCAAAATACACATCCTGCAACTCAGCATGAGGCTACAGAACTATCTTGGCATGCAGCAGCACAACAGCAGCAGACTTTATCCAACAGTCAAGGAGCAGGACTTCCACAGCAGCATCAGAGCTCAGAGGCACTCCAGTCGTGCTTCACGATACGTGATACTCTCTCCTCCCTGTACGCAGTGCGTGACGGAGGGCCACGGAGTGCAGCAGCAGCGGTTGTTTCTATAACCTCCTGTAAGAACAGCACTCGCAGTCCTCGGAGGCAGGCACAGCGTGCCTTTAACAACTGAAATCTCTTTGGGCTAAACCAGTTCAACCAGGTTTCCCGCCATGGTTTCCTCCCCCTGCCCCACCACGTCAGGTCTCATAAGCACAGCCAAAGTGGCTGGTTTGCTGTTAACGTGCTACCGGCTCCGGCCCTCTTTCACACGTATGTCCATCCACCTTCTCCTCCCTATCTCTCAAGAAGCGCACAGGGCAGAATTAGAATTGTAGCATCGTTAGCATTTACAAGGTACAATTAAGCACTGAACAAATTACAGTTTTCTCCCTGGATCGTGTGGGAGCAGGAATCTACTGAGCAGCTGACTGTTTTCCATGTGTTTTAATGAGTTCTCCTATCAATTAATCATGGACATCTTCCCAGCTAACTGGGAGTAACAGGGAGGGGGAGAAACCCAACAAACAGCACTTTTTCTTTCAAAAGCTGTAATAGAATCCACAGTGCTGAAAATTTGCTTGAGGAACTTTAACAAACTGATTTCTCACTTAGTCTAACAAGAATTATAGTGAAAACTGTAACAGAGAAACTAGTCAAGGACATTATGGATGATGTTCATTTGCCTATAATGTTTTGGTTGCTGCTTGCAACTACTGGTATTAAACTTCCTTGATTCTCATAAGCCAAGTGAAACATAGTTGGCGGTGTGAAGAACAGAACAAACAGATTTGTGTTATTCAGGCTACTCGTAGAGCAGACGTGTTCACAGCATCTTTTCAGCACTGCTGGAAATGTAACAGATAACAGAACATCTTTACTACCTGAGAACACGGAGCAACTTACCTTCGGCACAATATATCCTAACAGGTTTCAGTGCTCCTTTGAAAGAGGTTCAGGGACCAGGACAGGGAGACCTTTTGGAGAGGAACGATACTTTGATTTACTTGGGTAACCTTTTTTTTCCCTTTCTTTTTATCGTCTTTTTTGTCAGTATGGGCACAAAATGCCTAATTACGCACAAGATTTTTTTTTCTTATACCCTTATTTCATGTCCAGCTGGTGACTACAGTATTTTGAGAGAATCAAGGAAGTTTCAGCCAGTATGTCTGCATTTAGGCCTGCAGGTGCTGTACCGTTTTTCATCTAACTACATCACTTTCTTATTGCAGCCAAGCTTAGGTTCTGTCAACACCATGCCCTTGGCAGTTGCCTACCAGTCATTATCTTGATTCTTCTGCCCTTTGAAGCACTGGCTCAAAGGTACAACTACTACTGGTTCAGTATTTGAGATGTTTGTCCTCTCCAACACTGCTACATGTAGCATGTGGTAGTAGGGCGGGGAATAAAAAAGCACTACAGATGAACACAAAACTGTCGACCAAAGCGAAGATCCTTTTCAAAGCATATTTGTGGGCGCATGGGAAAGCTGCACAGAGCGCACCTCACAGATTCAGCAAATTTTAGAGTAGGACATCAGCAATACAAGGCTGCAATCAAAAATATTTTTCTTATTCTACAAAACTTACCTAAAATTTGGCATGATTTTCCAAACAACATAAAATAAAGACTCTGGACTAAATGCAGTTTGGCTTCCTTGCCATAAAGCACAGAGGGTCTTTCTGAATTCTTCCACCAATGAACTGGAAAGAAAGAAAAAAGCTGGTGATTAATATGGGTTCATGCAATGAAACCTCTTACAGGTTTTACTAGCTCTATGGTAGAAGTATCAGACATTACTTTGGTTAAGATTGTAATGATTGGGTAAATATCCTTCCCAATACTTCAGAGATAGTATCCTACCCATAACACTAGAGAGCAACACAGGTTAGGAAAATCACATTTTAGGCGTTGAGGACTCGCCTGGAAATCTATCCACCTTTCACCATTTTGCTGTAGGCTCTAACATCATCCCTTTAACGCTTGCTCGAACGAGCTACACCCTGTCAGTCGCTTACTTTGACTTATTTACTTATTTTTATTTCTTCGCTTGCAGACATATCCCCGTGACCATATTTTAGCTGTAACTAAGTAACGTCATGTCTGGAGCACATACGACGAGCACTTCTTAAGTGCAGTTGCGCTCCAGTGCTTTCCGACCTACCTGACTGCTTCCCCCTGCACCATCAGACAAGCAAACTGCAAATCATACGCGTTTCTTTTTTTGTACAGCCAGCTACTTTTCGACGACTCTGTCCCCCCGTGAATCATTTCCCTGTGATTCTGCAACACTGAAAGCATTTAGTGGCTCTACTGCCCGAGCGTTTGCTGTTTTCCGTAAAGTTCAGTGCTAAGAAGGAACATGCATCTTACACGTTGTTATCCCCCTGGCTCCTGGTATGGTAAGTTCGCCTGCCTGCCGTCTTCCCATTCCTCAGCTCCACAGCAGGCAACTCTTTGAAGTAACAGCAAAACTGCTGAATGTTACTACAGAAAAAGGAAAAATGAATTAAATCCTTAAAGGGCAGAGAACAAAGAGAATATTACGTATTCTGGAGCCTGTTCTTTGAAATGCATGAACGCAACCCCATGCAGTGATAGAGGACGGCAATCACGAACAGCTCAAGATACAAGAAATACTGTAGCAAATACTCATCTTCTGCAAATGACTGAGAAGATGTGTAAACATCATCATCATCCCAACCACCTGAAAGAACTACATTTTGGCTCTGCTTTGACTAAGACACACTATGACAGACAGAGGTCCTGGAAGACATTTCCTAACAAACCGGACTGCACCTGCTGAGGAGGTTCTCTCCATGTCTACCCGTCACCTACCAATCCTAACCTCTGCTACCACAGTCCTAGTGATGGAACATAAGAAGCATTCCAGCCAGCGGACCCTGAATCATGGAAAAGAAAATGGAGACCCCGTAGTCCTGCTATAACCCGACTCAGTAGTCTCGCAGTGAAGCAGGCAAATTCAGAAATGCAAAAGGACAATTACAGAGCAGTGGTGGTCTTCACAACAATTCAAATGAGATCTAACATCTCAGCACTGCAGAAACTGTTCTTCCCACTTCCATGAGACCCCATCCCTCAAAGCGCTGTCTCTGCTTTCACAGCGACCACAAACATCAACACGTTTCAACATCCTCAGCAAAGAAAAGGCAGTCTCCTTTTCCACCAAAGATACGGCAGGCTTCCTCTGGAATGCTGCATCACAGCAAGTCCCTCACACTGCATCCATTCCTGCAAATCCAGGCCCGCTTTCATACAGTGGTAACTTGTCAAATTCCCTTGCCCAGTGCAACAGCACAAAACCACTCTCACAGAGGTGTGGGGGAAGCTTGGGAGGTACCTGAGTGACTGAAGGATTGCATTCATGAAACACGTGTTCCCCAGGTTCCGAAGGCCTGTGGCACAAAGGGCAGTGGTGCTTCCCTAGTGGAAATGACAACAGTTAAGTTAAAGAAATACTTACCAGTGCTTTTCTACTTTCTCCCCACAGAGCTGTCACTGTTCTGTCGGCATAGATTTAAACAATAATAAACGACACCATTTGAAAAACGCAGTTTCAAAGCAAAGGAACCACCTCACAAGCTCAAACTGCCTTGAAGCTCCATTTTGACATGAAACCTGTTTCTTACTCATTCCTGTCAACTGAAAACTATGCTACATCTTTTCCTGTGCAATTAAATCTAGAATAGAACAACACAGAGTTAATCAAAGGTTTTTATTGCAAAGTATTTTGGTTTATATATGTTAAGTATTCACACTCCAATAACGTTCAGTGAGAACTGGACAGGAATTTTCCCTCAAGTGCCTTCGAAAGATGAAAATACCACTTCTCCATCTACTCCCATGGCTAACATGCAGCGTGGCAGGCTGCCGGTTCTTTTTAAGTTGCCAGCACTAGCCTGCTGTCTTGGTGGGGTTTTGTGGTGGTCAGGAGGGTTTTTGAAAGACAGACAACAGCATTTATTTGGGAAAGACACAGTCAACTTAGACTGCGCAAAGAAAAAGCAATGTGTTGAACGAAAAGAAGCAAACAGGAGTTTCAACAGGTTAGAGCAATGTTACCCAGAGAAGAGCTTGCTTTTGCCAAATAATCTTCAGGGTGGGGTAGGAGGAGAGGGAAGAGAAATACAGACAGTATAGCATTTATGATTTCTACAATCCACAACACTTGGACACGTTCTATTGTCTACAAAATATCACACTGAAAGTTCATAAGTTTTTGGGTTCCACCAAGCTCATACTGCTCTGAAGCTCCATCTTGACATGAAACTCTTCTTAAACACAGAGAAGCTCAAAGTCTAGGTCAACAGAAATGCATCAGAATATCAGATGTTCCTTTGTGAGAAGGGGCTCTTCTAGGTGCATGGTCAGGTGACGAGAATGATAGAGTGCACCAAGCAGAATTTGGGTAACTGACTGTAAGTATTTCAAGCCTAGGCCAATTATAAGGCTCAAGAGGTTTAGAAAAATCCCTTAAGCTCACTGTACCAGATCCGTCATACTTACATTTACTTTTAATAACTTGCTGTTCAGAGAGGAGTTTTCCAATAATTTTCTTTTCCTATGTCTGTCTGATGTAAAGGCTGAGCTGTTGGAAAGTAATTAAAAGAGGTTACTTACTATAAGAATAAAATATTGTGTGAAACGGAAAAGAGATAATCATCTTAATGTTTAATACAGTGACTGCATCTGCCATCAGCTGTCATTAAGACAGCACAGAGCTTCCCGATTGCAACATGTGCTTTTCGCAGCGTTAAAGCATCTCCCCCAGAGGTCAGACGCACATCCTATTTCCAACACCAATGTCCGAGTTCATTGCATTAAGTTATGCACACTACGGTATGCGCCCTGGGCATATTGGCATGCTACTTCTCATCTAAAATATAGATCTTTTTCCTTAATCAAAGGAATAATTAACAGAGTTCTCCATAAAATACTCCTGTCAGAAGAATCATCTAAACCTTTAGAAAGACAACTTCAAAAAATCAGGACAAAGTAAAGTTACCAAAAATGAAAAATATCTCAAGTGCTAGCGCTTACGCATTATAGCTGACTTCGCTTACTGAAATAAAAATAACACATGAGGTTACAACATTTGTGCAATACTAACACAAAGTTACAAGAACAATTAGTTATTCTTTTCCACATCACTGGAAATTACTGGCTCCTCAATTCTACCAGCTTATGACTTCTCTCTAATCTAATAGCAAAGTCATAACTTTTTCCAGATTTTAGTGGTTTAATTTTTTTAATTAAAAAGTTCTCCAAACATTCAAAAACTGTTAATACACACAACAGAAGCCTCCACCGTATCCAACAGTGCTAGACAAAGGCAGAAGAAAAGCATGTCTCTTCTGTACAATTCCAAGTTCATAAGCCAGCTTAATCTGTTTGGAAACCAAATGATGCAATTAATATGAAGACTACTTCGACCTGCATTTTCACTTCAATTTCTCTGCTCCAGAATCTTATTCTGGTTTTGACAAACTATGATTCTGTTCTGGAAATTCTCTCCCATTTATATGGAAAAAGACAGTAATTATTGGCTAGGTAGCAAGAAAGTTAACCAATTTCTAAATTCCTGTATCACCATATACCGTTTCTACAAGATTCACTGTACAAGAAACAAAACATATGAGACCAGCCAAATCCGTTTCCTTCTGCACCTCTGCTTCTCAGGGCTGACAAGGATATTTGAACATACACAGTACCCCACACACAGAAGGACCAAAGTGTGTATACATACTAAACAAATACATACACATATAAATCAGAAATACCACTTAAATGATGCAATATTGTAAGTCCACTCACAGCAGTCTGGATGTGAACAAACCACTTACTTTTCCAAGTTCTGTAGGTGCTCTCTGACCTTCTGTACCAGGCCCAGCTTGGTATCATTGACTACAAAGTCATCACAGCGATAACTGCAAGAAAAACACTTGTCAGAGCGTGCAAAAGATTTCAACGAAGTACTCCAAAACAGTCATCCAAACCTACGTGCGGGAAGCACTGAAGCGATTCAGTGGAAGATTACAAGAGGAACAGGGAAGCACAACGCCTACATACTGAGCTTGGTTCCCTCCAAAAACTAGCCCATAGCAAGGGAAGGCACAGGCACTATCTTATTGTATGTTTTCTCCTTCTGGCTCAGTTCCTTATTAGAAATCAGAAGCACGATGTACTGAACTCCAGTTCAACAAAAATTCAAACATATGGTGTAATGAAGAGCAGTATTAGTAGACAATCCATAGAAGATTTATCAGAAAAGATCAACTGCCATCAGGCAAACAGAATATAAAGGTTTTATTAATGTATAGCATAAATCAATTTATTTTAATACTGTAAAGCTATCATTACACCTGAGGTGTTGGACAGACACACACAAAATGTGAAAGTGTTTGCTACGGAAAAAAGACCAGGGAAGATGAGCTAAGAGATTACGTGATTTGTCCAAAGTCACACCAGAAGCCTGTAGCAACTTGCACCTCATGCTTTAACCACAAATATTACTCAACCTCTCATATAGTTTTTATACATACAGAAACTGTTATAAAACTTAAGCGTATTTTGATTTTTTTCAGGGTAAGTGTGCAAAAGTAAGTAACGGAGCTGAAAAAGAGAGAGAAGCTGACCCCCCACTGCCTCAAAGCAAATGTAAAGTGAAGACGAATCAAAATGGCCTCTCAGCAGAAGCCAGTGTTACAGAAGTCTACAGTCCCGTAGCGTTCTACACAGATCTCACGTTTCCCAAGAAACAAAGATGTTCATTACAATTTAATATTCAAACTGTGGGCTTGTAACGCCTCATATAGTGCACAAAGGCAAAGGTTACAGACCACTTCTAAAGGGGAGGGGGAGGAGGGTCTTTTACGGAATGCCGAAAAAACCCACACCTTATTTCACTATTTTCCTGAGTACATGTAAACCCACGGTGCATGTCAACTTGAAAAAACAAGAGTGTATCAAAGACAACTGTCACAAGGAGAATGCTGTTGCAAGATGGCATTACTTCTGCTGCTTTGCTGTATTTTAAATCCCTTGCTTTTCTTGTCCTCACAAAAAGGGGGAATAGCAGGCCCAGAGTGATGTGGACCCTCTTATCCACATCACTTATCACATCAAAAAGAATGTTTTCTTCCATTTGTGAAGGAAAGACGATGCCTGTATACAGGGGCAGGGTACTAGAAAGGGGAAGGACGGACAAAAATCCCCTTGAAACCAAGAAACAGAAATGCTGCAGTCAGTAAGAAAGCCCAGCCCTGCAGAATCCACACCTGCACCTTGGTAAACCAAGAACTCCATGCAGCCTCCTTGAGTCCCTCTCCAAGGAGGCGGTCAGCAGAGCAGCAGCCTTACTGCTGTGCACAGGAGCTGCAGATGACATTTCACAGTACTCTGGCATGGTTAGCCAAGGGCTAACTCAAGAACTAGATAACTCATCTTCTGGCATGAGAAACAGGAAGGAAAGAAAAGACTTAGCCGCACTTGGACCAGCTCTTTTCAGAGAACTGCAAGAAAAAAGGAGCAGAGACATGTCACAACTTCCCTTCCTGCACGTCCCACGAAGGCAACTCAGCTCTGAGCAGTGTTTGTCAGCCCTGTGCTGATTGTGAAGCATCAAATCGCAGCTTCGAATTCTGGCAGGCAACTGAAAGCTTCCTGTGAAGAAAACTGACTGACTTTGGACATGCTTAGTAACAGCTATACGTTTAATAGCAGCTATTTCTCTGCTTTCCCTTTGGCACAGGACTGACTCAAATGCAAAATGCATCCTCAGGTTGCCCCTCTGCTGGAGCAGATCTGTGCTTCCTACATTAATGAAGCCATTGACTTCAGGCACAAGTGGAATTTACAGCGTTCTTTGCTATATAAATCTGCAATGTAGTTCAAAGGCAACAGTATGGCTAGTGTTAATTCAAACACTGAATTCTTAAAGAGACCACAGAGTGGAGGAAGTAAAGGCCCTTGCCACCAAAAGAAGGCTGTAAGACCAGTCTGTCCAGGATCTCTGTTGATTTTTGCCTCTGAGAAATTAGTATGACTCTCAAGATTTCCAAACACTGAACACAACAGTTACGGACACTTACGCAAGATCTAGAAATTATTAGATAGCTATTGTTGCCAGTAATACTTTTTTTTTTTTTTTTTAAATTTAAAGATTGCCACAGACCTAGTTAGTTTGGGAGAGGGAAGGAGTCTGTAAACATGCTTATTTTGCAGCCACATTGTACGTAGTGCTATTCAGCTTTGTCAGCCACCTACAATTACCTACTGAAGTGTTCCTGCGTTTGCCACTCTCAAAGGACAACACACCTTACGGATAACCATCAGAGCAAACTACCCAGGCCAGCTTTGATAAGAAGTAAACATGGTGCAGGTGGATACAGTACAGCCCGACTCCTCCTTAATACCAAGCGTGCCCATACTCCCAGGCATCCTAGCACAACTACATTGCTACTCTAGTTGTGTAGCTACTAACATTTATAAAAGGGGAAGGAAAGCAGATGCAAGCTCACTGAAAGCCTCTAAGCCAACTTATTGCTGAAAGATGATGCAATACTTGTTCCCATGCCCTAAAGATCATGTTAACTTTATTCTTAGTCTGATCTCACATGCCAGTTACATCTTTACACAAAATTGCAAGTTATCACTTTCCCCAAGATGCAGGAATAAAACCAAACGCATCATTAAATGTCAGAGTCCTCGCAACAGTGGAAAAGTAATTTTAAGATTCACTTAAAACCCAAGAGAAGATGCTTCTATTTCTCTTTTTAATGAGCGGGTTTTTTAAACCACACTGAGCATTTAGCACTACTACTAGAAATAACAGCGCTACCACCAGTCTATTTTGGATAAACGAAGTAAACAGCATAGGAAGCAGTTTATGCTTTAAGAGCTTAAAATTTGCTCAGCCTACACACCTTAAAGGTAAGCTGCCGAGAGATGACTTCCTATAAAGCTGACGTTCAAGACGTGTTTAATTTGTGACCCTCAGGATTATCACCAATTAACAACATACCTGCTTGCATACAGCAGCTCTACAATATGTTTCTAACAGCAATTGTACAGAACAAATTCTATACTTCGGGGAGGGTCTCTCGCATGGATTAGCACAATCTTTTCCTCTCGGTACACCTTCTATTTTTAGCACCTCTGCTACCTCCAAGGCCTGGTCTTTTCTGGCCTGCTTTGCTGCTACAATGGCAGCAAGCCAGTGATGTACGCACTGCTCTGGGAAACGCTCGTACTTACTGCTGGCCATTTCAGTAGGTTACAGAACTTCATGCTATGTTTAAAAGCTCTGATTGGATTTCAAGAATTAACAGGACAAGAAAAATTACAAAAATCCAAGTTTCCTTAGTTGTGCTAACACTTTATACGAGTGTATACAAGAACTCAAGTTTCACTGTCTTGATACAGGCTTTTTACTTTCTTCAGTTCCCACTGGCTGTGGAATGCAAAATAATGGTCCTAAGCAATCTTATCTTCGGATGCTCATGCACTAGCACAGTAAATCTGTGTTTTAAATAGAACCACCACCACAAAAGGAAAGACTGAAAAAAAAAAGGCACTTAGTTATTTTTACATCAGCTGGAGGGGGGGACACGACACAGGGACAGGACATTGGCACAACCATGTCCCCTGTAAGAGACAACAAGGTGGCTACTGGGCAGAAATCTGACCTGCAAATTGTGTCTGGGATTAAATGAACACGGGAAACATATTATGCAAATATGTAAACAGGGTAGCCTTTCTTCTGCGCTAACCAACTGTCTGTGCACTAGCACAGAGAACACACATTTACAAGAGTCCTCTTTCAGGAAATGTACTTCTGAAAGCAGGCTTCTTACACGTATCATTTTACTTCTTGTGCACAGAAAAACAACCACTTAACACGGCAGGAGAAAGCTTGAAGAGAAAAGAGATCTGTACTTCTTGTAAACTCTTTGTGATTAGTACTTTAGAACTACCTGAAATCTGATTTCCTTCAAAAAGCAGAATTCAGGAGGCTGTTTTTCTCAGTGCTTAGGGTCTCAAACGTAATTCAATCTGGAGATTTAGTATTGCATCTACTGTCTCAAAAGTGACAAAAGAATTAAGAAGAGAGTCATACTCAGAATAAATAAAAGATTAGCATTCTCTCAACTGTTTTGCTCTGAACAGGAGGAGGACAGAGAAGATAGGTCAAAACCCTCTGGAAAGCAAATCCCTAGTTGCCCAATACTTAATGATACTTCAAGCATGCCCATATTTTTCAAAACCTTACCAAATTCACGAATATGATAAAAACCTCACGTCAGATTAAAAAAAAAAATAAGTAAATTAACCACTGTCCCACCAGAACAGAAATATTTTCCTTTCAAAGCTGTATTGAAAGCATGTGACCACGTAAAAGAAAACACACACACCTAGGCTTCCACACTGGAATGCAATTACAGGAGACTGCTTGATCTGGTTTTGGTTTACGGCAAGATTGCACGTGAACTAGTCACAAAATTCAGTAAACCACGGGAACTTCAACAGTCACTTAGTATTTCTTCCCCTTGGACTGACAAGAATAGCTAAGGCAAACCCTGGACTGCGCTCTCATAAAATTTTATGACCCAGTCAAAGAAAAGCAAAGGATTAAATGCCTTCTGCCTAGGAAAGAGCCCCATACAGGCCTGTTCACTGCTACTATCATGCGAGCTACAGAACACAGTAAATTAGGATTCACAGGATCAACATAGAACAAGAGTACTTTACTCAACTCTGTGCAGTAAACAAAACTGCAAACAAAAATATAAAAGCCAGTACTGCATCAAAACATCTCCGTTATTTTTACAGTAAAAGTAAAATTCTATTATGTCTTAGGATGGTATTTTCTTGACTTTCAAAGTACTGAGGTTGCCCACATTGCTAGCATAAAATATTCATCTTTAAATAAAAGTTCACTTAAAAGCAACATGATTGCATAAACATAGCACTGTCTAGTGGACTCATGTCTACACTGAAGAAGCTAACAAGTAACATTTAAAAATTCAATCTTCACAGTAGCTAGTTATGACTGGAAATCACCCAACTATTTGCTTTAACTGGCAAGCACTATTTGACAGCAGCTCCTAGAGTACTGTCTGAAATAAAGAGGCAGAAGTTGGTCTGAATGCTTCCTGCTTCATCTTTACATCTCTAAGCTCATTTCCACAGAAAAAAACATGCAATAACAAATCCAGGTATCTTTTTCTAATTATCAGAAGGGGAAAAAACTGAAATATCCTCAATGAAAGTAAAGGTATACTGCTTTTGAAACTTGTTCAGCTTCACATTAACACAGGAGAGTTATAATTTGCTAGTGAATTACACGCAACAGGAACTCCCCAAGGCAAAGCTCCCTACAATTAGTGCCAGTTCATCCATAGATGACAGCCTTCTACTTCGATTACAGCAGAAAAGGCATCACATGCTAAACTGCTGCTCATCTGTCCTGCCACAAATATGCTGTGAAACACCAGTGAGCTTCCAAAGTGCTCACCTACCTGCTCCCCACAGGCACAGTTTGTTTCAGGGATAGATCCCACAGTCCTCAGTTTGGCTGCCTGTCTCTATGCAATGCCCATATGGAGTTTGGGATAAGGTCAGCGAGACGCTCTGACTCATCAAGCCTCAGCACGCTGGGCATGCTACTTGTCATGGTAAATGGAGATACAATCAAGGCTTCAGCTACCCTGCTGAAATTCCTCCACACGTTATTACCTTCAGAGTGACTAGAAGGCAGGTCACACTTCAAACAAAACAAAACACCATAACGTAGGATTCAGTGGTTAACAGCATTAATCCGGAAAGTGGCATTAGCTTCCCACAGCTGTTCCAATGCTGGCCACCACGTGTCACTTTGAAAAATTTTATGTTTTCTATTGTTTTCACGTAGGAGTAGATAAAAACGCTCATTTAAATAAAATGTTAATAGAAGCTACATCACAAAGCTACTCAAACCTTTCTTCTATGCTTAACATCGGTACAGCTTTTGTCATTGCTGCACACACCATCTGAGTGATTTTTGAGTTGCTCCAAACAAAATTTCTTCAGGTGAGACCACTTAACTGTGACTTTACTTACAGGGGATAAAAACATTTGTTACAGAAATATTCCTCATAGAACTGGCTATCCAAACTTCAGCAACCAATTTTTCCCTGATGAAGTACACAAAAGACACCCAATTATTTGAATGAAATACCCATCAGGGGAGCTATATACTCAGTAATTTTACAAGATCATAACACGGATTTATGATCTGTGGGATCTGCACTGTTCAAATCCTGCACTGTCACACCACACAAGTAACAACACATATGGGAAACGATGAATCTAACAGGACCCGGGGAAGCAGCTGTCAACAGTTTTGCCTAGGGGCGAAGAGGATGGAAGATGTGGAATGCACAAAAGCATTGCTTTCAGTAGCCTTCTGGTCTTTGCTCTCTGAGAACAAGGAAGATAGGGAACCCGACGTCACCGGCATAAATATTAAATCTCTCTAAACAGTGCTCATGTCTCACTCTAAGAAACTGATAGAAAAAAATCAGCCCAGGCCATTCTTCTGTTCAATGAATCACTTCTGTGATTCTGCTGCTTCATCTTGCCAGAGAGTTGATGCTGCTTCCCTACAGGATCCAGCACTTTCCCAAACTCACATAGGTTGCATCGAGTCTCCAAAAAAAAGAACAGACTTCCTTTCAAGAGTGAAGAAAAAAATTACTATGGGGAAAAAACCCCAAAGAACACACACACCCCTCAAATTCACACCTCTTGGGTAGAAACTACAGTGTATTACTTTACTTTCTGATAAATAAAGGATACGTGAAAGGCTCACTAATTTGATGGAAAGTGTAACTATAACCAAACAGCAGCTTTTGCAATTAAAATGTTAGGTTCTCAACATGCCCCAAACAAACAGAAGCAACTCCAAACCACATAAAGAGCAGAAACTTTTTCAAAGAAATGCCAAGTCATTTGAAATGCAGGAGTTTAGCCACAACCAGTGCTACAATACACACGCAAAAGCAGAGGGTTATTTCATAACTGTTTTTAAACAGTCAGGTCTGGAAATCAAGAGATGAAGTGCTCAAAAATGTATGTAAAATAATGCTTCACAGAAGTCTGAAGGTTTCATCTTCTAGTACGTAAAAAGTCGTCAAATTACAGCATTTAAACCCTTACCAGTATGTACTGTAACTACTGCAATCCATACACACAGTATGCTGAACCTTCTCTTGTTTTTCTGCTTTCTTATGATTGGTCATAGGAATCTGTGCGTCTTCATAATGCTTTTTTGCATGGCCATTCACATATCTAAAATAAATGAAAAACAACAGAAGTCTTATACTTTTAAGCCGTTACTTAACCAACATTCATTGAAAATAAGAAAAAAAGGCAGCCTAATAAGCATGCAATATTTATAGAGGCATTAAAATAGGCAATTCACCTGTGTGAAAACGCTAGTTAAATTTTCTAACTTTTTAACCCTCTACTCTCCCATGTTGTCCAAATTCATCTCTCCATCTCCTTCACAGCAACCACAAACCGTCATCCTTGTACCAAACCCAAGGTGTGTTCACAGAACAAAACGATGCACCTTCACAATGGAGAAAAGCGTTAGCTCCCTTTTTCCATAGCTGTAATGTGGTTAGTTCTCCATACTGCCTTTCCACACACTTTTCTTACAGCTCTACCTTTTTCTGCACTCAGCACTCACCATGGCTGTGATTACTTTAACAGTGTGCTGACCCTTGTATGAAAGCACATCTGTTATAAGCTTCCCCGTTCCACAGGACGTTTTAATATTGGAGCATTCTACATTTCATACAGTTCATGAATTTGAATGGCTCTACAGCTTGCTGAACTGAAAATGAAATCTAAAATCCTACAGCTCTTTTGCTGACACAATGAGCATTTCCACACTCAGAATTGAGAAAACCCAACATCTTTTATTAAAGCAGTGTCATTAAAAATGCAAGAGCCTTAAGTATCAGCTGAAAATCATTAACACTTGGACGTGCATGGCCAGACCGCGGGTGAATTCCCTCCTACCCCATTTCTTGCTTGTTGAACTCGGTAATGCTAACGAGTGGGAACTCCACACATGGTCCACGTGAAGGCCTTTGTATTCTATGCTCCTTCTCACATGCAGGTGTAAATAATTCTGCTACTGCAGCTGTGCTAGTGACGGCACTGAGCCACAGGGTTACCCACGTTGCTGTGCTGGCAGAATCCTGCAGCAATTATGTCACAACCCGAATAAGACAGTTCAGCTTGCAGGAGTTGGTTTTCTGCCCAACAGTGCAAGTGACAGGTTTTTAAAGCTATAGTTATACCAGAAACACTCTAACATGGTCAGTAATGTTCCCAATGACTCCAACCTGAAGGATGTACTTCACTTGAAGATCTGAAAAGCTCTATTTCTCTTAATTTCAAACATTATCTGAACAGAAGAATATGCTGTGTGCTTTCATGATCAAAAGTGTTCCAATTACAAGGTATATTACATTCTTCACACTCAATTATTTTCCATTCTAAGGATGGGAGCAGTTTGAAAACTCAAACTGCATAAATAACTGACTAAACGTCTAACTGCACACAAGAAAAGTAATATATAGAGAGTAACAGTATTTTTTTCAAATTGGTAACAAGCAAAATATTCCAAACCTGTTTATTTCACACCGTCGTGTAACGTGAATTAACTCCCCCTCTCTTAGCATTCACCAAGTATAAAATTTATATAAAATAAATGAATAAATAAAATGAGGAAAAAAAGGGGTTTGTGCTGAAAACTCTGAGTAACAAACATTATTAAAATTGTGGCACTTACTTCCACTCAGATCAAAAACAAAAGCTAGGGTTTATTGAATCCACTTTAAAAGACAATGTCACTAAGTTTAATGATGCTTTTCCAGAATAAAAGCATACCTGCACCGGTGCTACCCTATAGACGAAAATACGTTCACATCTCCGACACTGTCTAAACATCAATACTAACTGCATTCTCAGTAATACGTGCATCTCAAACCTTTATGTAGCAGCACATTTTCTACAATTATCCTGACATATAAGTAACAGCATTGACTACTATCATTCCTCTACAAATTCTTTTGTTGTACTTCCAACTAACACAGACAAAAGTCAGGTGCACTCTAAAGGAATTCTGATGGTAGCTAGTCCTTACACGTTACAGCAATAACTTTGTTCCAAAACTACACTATGGTACATTTAATGTATTTTCTGTCTAAGCTGGACAGTTGCTATTTTCCTCAAAATAAGCTGTGTCAATTTTGGATGTGTGGGTTTCCAAGGATTCTTACTGGTTTAATCTTATTACAATAGAAACATCTTTTACGGAATGGAACTTTACAATAATCCACTGAATTAGCAGTTCTGCAGGCACTTTTTGAGCTGAGCAATCACATTCACCGTACACTTTTCTTTTGGAAAAAAAAAAAGATGTTGAGTATAATCTCTGGACTCTCATAAGGTAGAGCAAAGAAGTGTGTTCAGCATAAACATACAATGCTAAATGACCTAAACGATTCTATGATAGGTTTATTCAGGGTATTCAGGAAATTTGCGAATGAACTGCCCCGGAGTTGAGCAACAAAGGAAAATGATAAAGGTCTGATTAAGAGATTTGCACACTAACACTTTGTACCCACCTTCCACAATGGACACTTGAGCACGTCAGACAGACCCACGGACTTTTATTTGACCGGCACACTATAAAAGATTTAAAAAAAAAAAAAAGCATCAAATGAATTTGCTCTGATATTACAGTTGTATAACACATCCTGAACGCTGGCAATAGCTCTGCTGACTCCACCTTAGGAGCAGTTACATAAAACAGCCAGTCATGTTCATTAACCCACGTTAGGGACTAAACTAACAGACTGAAAAGCGATTGACACTAAAGCACGTTACCTTGCTTTTGCCTTGGGTTTTAGTCACAGGCTACATGTTTATGTTACTTTCCATGGAAAATTTGAATTTTTTTTGTTTGTATTACATCCACATGAGGTCTGTTTGATTTGAAATACAGTACAGAAATAACAGAAGCACAAGCAGCAAAAAAAACTAGTAAAGTTTGAAAACCTGTCTTTTGGCTTTTAATAAGGCAGTCCACTAACACAGGAAAAAAGCCACAGCACTGCACTTGTGTTTCACAACACTAGTTATACAAGAAGCCATTTTAAAGAAGATATTGCAAGAAAGCCTGGCAATCTGATAAGAAGCACACAGAATAAATTACTATGGAACGCACAATAATATGCAGTTTATACAATACATATTTCTATGCCGCAGTGCTGGTAAAGGCTTTTTCCATAAAAGTTTTATCCTTTCAGTCATGCACAAGAAGCTGAAAGATTAAAATGTAATACAGTGCTGTGTTTCGCAATCCATTCAAGACACCTGAAGATGTTATCTAATTTTTCAGCTGTCTTAGATGTCTAGAAAACTTAAATTAAATAAAGACAGATATTTTTAAGCTAAAGGGCTTACAGGGAAAAAACAGCAGATACTAGAAAATAATGAAACACCATCCCAGGGTAGAGTCACAGAAACAGGATATTCCAACTCCTAACCTAACCCAGTAGCGAAGTCTGCAAATTCACACTAGAAACAAAATCTCAATAAATAACCCATGTAGGCAGAACACAGTAAAACAGGCAAGCAGAGCAAAGTTTCCATCAGTCAATTCAAGAAAAAGTATATGCATCTTTATGAACAATAGCAATTTTGGAACTACAACCAAATAGATAGTTGAACCCTCAAATTTTGAGAGGAATTCCATTTGGATCATGCCATTGAAGGAAGGATGCTAGGATATATAATGGTTAGATTTGAATGAAGCAAAATTATTAAAAACTACTTGTTACCACGGAAGTTACAGAAATATCATTGCCCTTTCAAATTCCCAACTAATATGATGAGAGAAGCAAAATCAAATGCTAAGTGCACTTCTGCAAAGGCAGAAAACAACAATAAAAAGACAACTTCAATAACCCCAAAAATACAAAAGGGTACGATGCCACCCAGTTTTTCTACACGCTATAAATAACTGCTTCTCAGAGCAGCCAGACAAAAGAGTCACAGTGGAAAAATAAGATATCCATCTGTGAGGCCGAGGGAAGAAGGGACAAAGAGAAAAGGATTAAATCCTAGCATACATGTAAATTATTTATATTGTTATTTATTGCAGAAAAGCTTGAGAACAGCCTTCCCTGTCTGGAGTCACAGCTTAAAGTAAGGAACTGGGGAAAGTGAAGCATGCATAGAAGCTGCTCCAGGCCAGGATCACCTTAGCAGATTAATCCAAGACTTCCAGCAAAACTCAAAAATATGTTCACCAAGCCACAAACCATGGTACCTATGAAACTGTTAATATCAAAGACTGTCAGAAAAAAATAAGCTAACAAAAGTGAAAGAAGTTTCTTTAGCAAATTAAATGCTAATTAAAAAGAAAACGCAAGGAGGGGGTCAATTTTTAACTGGGAGAGAAGCGACTAGCTTAGCTGTTTAGAAGAGCTAATATACTTTCCACTATTACATTTCACCTTTTTTATTCAAATCAGACAGCAAAAGAAACTAGCTAATTCTGCTTCTTAAAGAATTGTTTTCTGGATTTGAATTCATTACTACAAATAGTTGTTGCATTTCAATTCACAGGCCCAATCCGAGGAATGTTTTAAACTAAGAATTTTACTATGTTCCCTGGAAAAAAGCACATTCCACAGAAATATTATTTGAAGTAACTACTTTAAACTCTTTAGTAGACTCCAGAATGGTTTTCTTCAATTGCTGCAATAATTACTTTACTTGAGAAACACATTTTCTCATGTCTCAGTTTTCTGGTTTCCGTTTCCAAAAAAACAAATTTTCCTATGTCTGAAGTTGACGGGTTCCCACAACTGTGGTGGTAATCTTGCAATAGATAGAGGACAGCCAGGTACAGCTGTTCTGGCTTACATTTCAAGTTAGAAAAGTAAAAGAAGTTTGTCTAATTTGACCAAACGTTAGCGAGAAACCCAACATTTGGCACCGGCCAACAGAAGTGTAAGGAAAGACCTTACACAGCCATCACCAGTTACAAATGGGCTAAATGGACCACCAGTCTAACCTGATAAAATTTTACCTTCCTGAATTACGCAAACTGAAAGGTAAAAAATTAACCAGAAGGAAATGGAAGCCAAAACCATTCATGCACTTAAACACAGATTAAGTACTGCACAAAGAAACCACTACCCTACACTTTCCTTGCCAGGAACATGAAACACTCTTCCTAGCTCTAAAATCCCAGCAGAAATTTCCCACTTTTAAGTAACATTTTTGTTTTCACTATGTTATCAACTGTAGACAGAACTGGTTCACAAGCAGTATGTCAAAGCATTACAATGCAAACTACTATTCCTACTTTCCACTGTGTACCAGATAATTACAATCTCACATTCAGGTGTTTTAAATACCAGAACTGCTTGCTTGTCAAGTGTTAAATTACACTCAAGTAGCAATCACTCTGCAGAGTTCATACCAGGTTTACGTGTTCTGCACAAAGCCAACAAACAGGCCCACCAACTCTGCACAATGTCAAAAAAATAGTGTCCACTAAAACGTTCCATCATTCACATCAGAGAATAGGAAGAGATGGCCGATTAGTTTGCTTTAACTTTTAGGATGAACTTTGCTCCAGTTGCATCACATTAGAAACGTGTACTTTGTCCTCTGCACAAACATCTCTGCCCACAAAGAACTCAACACGGAAGTGACTCCCAGTAAGATTAAACACAGAAGTCGGTATTAAGTTTGTGACCTACAGATTCTCTGTTCTGAGTGAATTATGTAATTGTTTTTTTTAAAGGTTGCTGAAGATCGCATTCTGTATTTCTCTGAGGTTGGCTCAGTAGATACCTGCACTAAAGCTTGGCTCTCTAGGTATTCCTCAATTCAGATCTCCAAGCAGTTACTGTCTGTTACTTACTATTAATAAATTAGATCAGGCCAGGAGCTTCAGGCATTAGTCAGGACTGTAACAAGACAGGCACCATGGAATGCACAGCAAAAGCGCAGTCACTGCCCTGAACTGCTTAGAACCTAAATTAAAGGTAGAGGGTTTGGCTTCATCTGCAAAGAAAATGCATGTTATTCCTACCAGATGTGGTACTGATATGAAGGCACTGGTCTTAAAAGTAGACCAGAAACAAGAGCCACAGATCCATAGCAAATTCCTTCTGAATTCAAAGCACATCACACAGCCCTGGAGAACTTGGCCCTTAAAACAGACTTGGGTGTTCAGGTCTTTCAGGTCAGACAGTTACACAGAGTCATGAGGAAAGACTCCGAAACCCCTTTGTACAGGTACGTATGTCTTCCTCCAGTAATCAGTACTGCAATAGGGATTTGGGGTTTCGGGGTTTTTTAGCGCAATTTAAAAGAGGAGGAGAAGTGGTGCACTAGATTAGCACCCCCTGCTTTGAAATAAAGTTATGTTCAAGAAACATCTTAATCACATTAAAAAAAACTTTATTATCTTTGTTTGTTACACCTTATTTAGCAGTATACAGGCTAAGGAACACTGGCTGCTTTCTCAGCTGGAATTGAAGTGGCTACCACAACAGCTACCCAACTGCCTCATTTTTCTGTATTTTTAGAATAGCTTCAAGTGGTTAGGCAAAGATAACACATGTCAAAAGAAAAGGGAAAGCAAATCTGCAATGCCACAATGTTGTCTGGAGCAGTAAGCAATTTGCCATTTTACATCAGTACCAGCTTATTCAGACGCTTAGGAACATAGTATATCCCTTCCTGTTACATGATGAAAAATTATCTTTTACAGAACAAGTTCTCTAAGTGAAATCTAAATCTCACTTGTTATAGAGCCTACAAAGCCCTCTGTAAACGAACAGGAGTATCAATCCATCCCCAAGAGAGGAAACAATCAAACACACTACATGCAGACTCATACACAACTATGGGAACGTTCTAAGATGTCCCTCCCTCTCTAGCTTCCACTTTCTGTAAATCACCCTGATAAAGAATGTTCATCAAGTTATGCCAAGCAGAATGAGTAAGATATGGCTAATCAGTCTGGCACTCTCATTGCTGGGCCTCCACCCCATCTATCCTCATGATCATGCAAATACGTACTTCTGAATCCTGACTTTTTTTTTTTCTTTCTTATTGAAAACTGACTCCAAGTTCAGTCTTGTGAAACAGGAATGCTCCTGGCAAACACTGTATTATTCCTTACAGAACAAAGCTGCAGATTTCCACTGTAGGAAAGTTACAACTATGTAAAAGTATACAAACAACCCATGAAACTAATAGCTTTGTTTAAATAGCACACTGCATAATTTAGAAACTGGCAAAAGAAAAAAAGCAGCAGGAAGAGGAGGAGACAAACAGGAAGCAGTTTCTGTAAGGCAGCCAAGTTCAGAAACCCATAAGATACAGTGTCCACCAGAGATCTGGCAGTAGCACAGCCACGCAATCAATGCAAACCGGTGACCTCGCACAACCGACCTGAGGCCACAGCTACTACAGAACTGTGCTTACCTCCAGGTTTTAATAGTCCTTTATTACATCACTAAAGAAAAGGCCACAAAATATCAGCATAGTAAGAGCAATGTTTTGGTCCTTCTGTTAAAAGATTAGGGTCATTAAACTATTTCCAATAGTCTCCACAGCCTTTACAAACCATCCTGGACTTTGCCCTAAAAAGGAGCTGCACCAACACTACTATCTTACTTGTATAATTATATGGTCAAACTACAATGACATAATAACCTGCCTAGAAACATCTTCGGACTAAGTGACCTTTTTTCAGTTCAGATTATGTTGACATAATAGGTCGGCTACACTGATACAAGCTAAACTGGAAAAGGCCACTGCTACTCCCCTCAGCTTCTGCACAAAGAACAGTATTTACGTAGTTGTGGCTGCACTGGTATACTGACACTGTGCTGAGCAAATTGTCCCATAAACATAAGCACTTGGTGACAAACATATATATGCCACATATGTATAGCAAGCTGTATGTGTAGCATGTCCACACATGCTATATGTATGCACATGCTTATACACACATATCTGCATATCTCCAATTAGGAGGAGACAAAAAAAAAGGACAAATACTGTTAAAAGTATTCTAGAGAAACAGACCTACTATTCCTTCCCATACCTTTAACTTCGTTTTGCCTAACAATCCCTCAGTGCCCTGATTTGGTAGCAAGACAACATTACGCTACATTTTGCTCCTGAAAGAACCTGACAAACGCAGTAAAAAAAGAGCTGAGCAGTCTCCAGTAACCACACACGAAGAAAAAAGCAGCACAACAATCTGCATACCAAAATGTGAAACCCCTGCTTTGTGAAACGTGATCCATCTGTCTGTGACACATCAGGCCTAAGGAATCAGACTAAAAGTTGCCTCCTTCAAAGATCGGGAAGAAAAGGCAAGGGAAACTTGTAAACAAAAACTCCTGTGAAACCATCACAAGTGGTGGGAATACAAAACTCTGCCACAAACATTTAACCAAAATTATGCAAACCCATTTAGTAATAACATCTCAAATGTTTTTCAGTCAAGAGGTTCAGAGCATTTCCCAGAGAGCCCTCTTCCATTTTACAAACTGAAAAATGGAGAATGACCGACCGAATAACTTACCAAAAGAGTTTTAAGGTTATCAGCATAGATCAGAACTGAGCCTACTAGCCCTAACACCTTAGTCCTTTACGTCATTTTACTTGCAGGCAAGGGTAGCACTCTACACAAAACTTTTAACGTGACTTACCAAAACAGCTCTGAATAAAACACCTAGAACTTCCCACATGCAATACACAAAAAGTATCAGGCATCTGAGAGAGTCATCTACGAAAGCCAATATTCTAAGTAGGAAATTGCTGAAGTTATTAGTCTATGAGAAATATCAAGGAGATGAACACGTTGGATGTGATCCCTCCTCCAGGCTTACGTGCTGGGTTGCAAAAGGGTTCTGCCCACCACTGGAATTTACAGCTCTGGAACTCCCTCTGGATACAGGCACATGGTCTTTTCAAAGACTGAATAAATCACCTGAGGAGTTTGCTCCACAAAATACCTGTTCATTCAAGATCTGAATGCCTCAGATTTAATGCACACACCTCCTACCCTTGGAAGATGTTCCTTCCAGACTGCTCCTAAGTGCTGAAGGAGGACCAGCATTTCCTTCTGTTAAAGATGGCACTTCTCATGAATAAGTAGTTATTCAGAGGAACAGTGAGACAAAGCAAGAGAGAGTGTGACTTTCACCAAACCTAGCATTTAGAGCTTTTACGTAGGCTGCAGTCTCCACAGCAATGCATATCCATACATTCTATATTCAAAAATCTACCAGATGAAGCATTCAGTCACTGGAACGGAGACTGGAACCAAGGATTTTTCCACTTATAATGAACTGTTCAAATCACAACATCACAGAGCCATGTGCAC